GACATGTTTCTAAATCAATGCTTAATCCATAAGGTCACATGTCTTAAGCAACCGACATCTGAAAAAGGTCAGAGAATACAGTTGCCAAAATATGTTATCAATGTTTTCTTCTATGTGCCATCTGCCTTCAGGGCATAGGTGATCATAGCTCTCCACAATTTCCTGTCCTTCATAGCTGTTAATAAATTTTATCCTTTTGTTATTTCTCCAAAACCTTGTTCTCCATTCATTTACCCATGCTCACTGCATAGGTCACACATTGTTTTTTATTTGACACTCTTGCCTTCAATCTGTCCTGTGAGTATCAGATTTTCCAAACCTTTCTTCATGTGCCCTAAGAATTTCAACTGTCTCTTCTTGATGTTAAGTATAGGTTTCCTTTTTGTTTCCATTTTCTCTAAAACATTGTCGTTGCTCACATGTTTGTTCCATAAGGAGTTTAATAGTAAGATTTTACTATCAAACCCCCTGTTGAGTGGATACCATATCCTACTGTGAAACTCTGAGTAGGGAAAGATACGTTCAACATTTAATTTTATTTATTGATACATGTGTACACACACACACACACACAGTTTACAGATCAGTTTTTCTACCTGTTGAATACATTTTTGTGTCGGGTTCTTATATCTGTAACTGTTTCATATATCTATGTGGTGGTGTGAGTAGTGTGGTCTGAATGAGAAACTGGAGAGCTGAGTTCAAATTCCAGTCAGGTTCATTACACTCACTTATGCACGAATACCCTTGGGAAAGGTATGAATCCATCTCTACTCCTTCCACCTATGGGTTGAATAGTAGGACAGACTGGATCCTATAGCCTTGGTTGGCAACCAGTCTACTGCAGAAAGAAACAGCAAACCTACTGTGGGAAAATATTCTGTCTAGTCAGTCATGAATCAAAAGAGACATGATCATGTATCACACTTAACTGACTGACAGTAACTATGCAAGGTGCGAAGGATAAATTGTCTCCATTATATAATTTTAATCTTGTGCATGTATGTTAGTCATTTTTGATTTTGTTGACTGCACAGCATAGTAGGGTTAGTTGGGCACTGTCTGTGAAAAAAAGAGCACCATGACACAAATCACTCAGCCAGAAATTTGGAAACGGCATGCTGTACTGCTTGGCATTCACACCAGAAGCTCCACTATGAACATTTCAGAGTGTTTGGGAGTCAATTTGAGGACAGTGCAAAGGTTTTAGAAAAAATTGGATGAGTCTAATGGTGAACATGAAGGTACAGCAGCTTGAAAAACTCACTTTGATCGTTCTGATAAGAAAAAAACTCCTTGAAACTAAAAGAACCTCTGGTCCAGCTTAGAAAACAGCATTGATAATTTGGAGGAAAGAACTTTGAATTCCTCAATTCATGGGCAGAAAGTCTGATTTGAGCTGAAATTGATTAACTGATATATACAGTAACTATACAGGGTACCATGAGTAAATTGTCGCAATTTTATATTTTTAATTTTGTGCATGTATGTTGTTTGTTTTTTATTTTATCGATTACACAGTATAGTAGAGTCAGTTGGGTACCATCTGTGAGAAAAAGAACACCATGACACAATTCACTTTGCCAGAAATTTAGAAACAGCATGCTCTATTGCTTGACTTTTGTGCTGGAAGCTACAATACAACCACTTCAGAGTGTTTAATTGTCAATCTGAGGACAGTACAGAGGATTCAGAAAGAGTTGGATGATATATCGAGTCAGCAACATGGTGTTTTGAGTGATCACTAATGATGGCAATGTTATGCCTCCATTCATCTTCCCACAGGGCCTCAGACTCAACATGGAGGCCTACATCAAGTGCCTTGAGGAGGTAGTGCTGCCCTGGGTCAAGAGGGTGGCTGATGGAAGAGCCTGTGTTTGCACCATCTCACACAAGCAGGAGAACCCAGTCATGGCTGTCAGACAATGTCTGCGACTACATTACCCCTTTCATCTGGCCACCTAACTTCCCAGAGAGAGAGAGAAGGAGAGTGATGGATAAATTGTCATCTAAATTACACTTAAAATGAAAGTAATACTGACATCTCATTTTAACAGTTATATTTACCAAAATGGCACAAAAATATTTTGAAATACTATGAGTTGGATGAGTCTAATGGCAGCTTGGAAAACTCACTCTGATAGGAAAAGAACTCCTGAATTTGTTGGACTCAACACAGAAACCTACACCAAGTGCCTTGAGGACATAGTGCTTCCTTAGGTCAAGAGGGTGGCTGCTGGAAGACCCTATGTCTGCACCATGTCTCAAGCAGAAGAACTCAGTCATGGCTGTCAGACAGTTTCTACGACCACATCACCCCTTACATCTGGTCACCTAACTCCCCAGACTGAAACCCTCTTGATTATTATGTGTTGGGTGCAGGTGAGTGAGAGACCAAAAAAACTCTTTGTAACACCATAGATGAACTGAAGGCAAGGATTATAGCAGCATTGACCAACTTAAACAAGGAGATCGTCCAGAAGAGTTGCAGGAGATTCCAAAGTAATCTAGATGCCGTGGTTAAAGCCAATGGCGATTTTATTGAATAAATTTACTGTTTAGTATTTCAAGATATTTTTATAATTTTGGTAAATATATCTGTTAAAATTAGATATTGGTGTTATTTTGATTTTTGCGTCATTTAGATGACTATTTATCCATCGCACCCTATAGTTTACGTTCAATATGCAGGATGCGGCAGAAATACTTCCTACATAATATTAGTACATTTTTTAGTGTCAATGGTGTCTTTAATGCCTTACCATTATTTGGGGGATATTTCTGCCGCATCCTGTAACATTGTATATTTAACAGACATGTCGTGAGACGAAACACTGTTTGTTCAGTGTGTTTACAATTGAAGTTTTTTGAAAATGTCTATATCTGTGAATCAAACACGCATACAGAAAAAAAAAAAAAAAAAAAGTAGATTTTCTGTCTTTTATTTCCTCTCCACACATACATACACATCTTTTTTTTTCTTTTCAGTCTTTTTTTTTGTTTCGTTTATTTGTACGCATATATATATATATATATATATATATATATATATATATATATATATATATATATATATTAACACTCTTTGCCCTACCCAGTTGCGCGAGCGCTCTCTCTCTCTCTCTCACGCACACACACTGCTTATCTGGCAAAAGACAAGCACATCCGTGTGTGTAAGTAGGACATAAAGCCCTACCTCTCCCGCCCTCGGCTTTCTCACCCCCCTTCCATTATCTTCGACTTCCCTCCACCATGCCTCCCCATCCCGACGCCCTAATGTATTTCAAGAACAACATTCTCTCTCCTTCTCAATCAGCATCAGGCCACACAGCTGCTGCGCCGAGCTCGGTCTCTCTCGCCACACCCATTGATGCCTTCACTCCTCCGACTGCTTATTTTTCTTCAGACTCTGTTTCTTCCCAGGAAAAAAAAAATAGGCATAAAAAAAGGAGAGTAAAATAGAACGAAGACCCACCCACACGTTCATCCTGACCACATTCATACCAATTATTATTCGTCTTTTCAACCAATGCCTCTACTATTCCTTCTCTCTGCCATCAAGATATTTTTGTTGCTTACTCAGTCTTGTTCACTCTGCTGACATCTTTCCTTTTCTCTTTCTCTTCTATTTTGACGAAGTGTGCTTTCTTTTTTTCTTTTTCCCTCCTTCCTCTCTCTTTTTATTCAGTCTTTTTTCTCTTTCTTTCTCATTCCTTTTATTTTTCGATCTTCTTTCTTCCCAGACTGTTTTTCTTTTACTTTTCTTACGCTTTTCTCAATTTCTCTCTTCTAAATTTTTCGTTCGTTTTTGTTCTTTTTCTTTTCATTTTAAATTCTTCTTTATTCTCTTTCTTTATCAATTTTCTTCTTCGTATTTCTCTCTCTGCCTGTCTTTTTTTCCTTTCTGCTTACTTTCCTCGATCTTTATAAAAACCCAACTTTCTTTATGTAACAACAGATTTGTTTTTACTCGTGTGTATCCTTTAAAAAGCCTTCTTGTTCCATAACCTCACTCTCTCTTATTTTTTAAGCTATCTTCATCTTATTCTTCTCTTCCTCTTTCTTTCTACAAATGCCCTATATATTTCTCTTTGTCTTTCTTTTTCTGTTTCTAGAGCATCTTGGACCTGAACTCCCCACTTTCTCTCTCAATCAATGATCTATCATTTTTTTCTTTTACTATTTCCTCTTTTTAAAACTCTATCTTTGTTCCCACCCCACGCTCACATACACACACACCCACACACCACCCCTGTTTTTCTTATCATTCTGTTTCTCTCCCTCCCTAAATAATATCTATTAGCTTCGCTCACGCAAGTGCCTCTGGTGCAGTAACTTTATCCGTTTCCACCCCGCGGCCTTTTTTCCTTGTTGCTAGTTGTTGTTGTTGATGATGATGATGATGGCTGTGCAGAATAGCAGGTACTCGCCCCTCCTCTCTTTCTCTTTTTCTCTCTCTTTACCTCAGAAAGAACCCGACAAGGAAAACGAGAAAGGGAAGACGGAGGCCGAGGTGCCGACGTAGTCACTACACAAGTGAATTAGGACGTAAACGCACGTTGGAGCCTTCTATTATTGTTATTTTCGTTTTCTCTCAACCAAATGGGTCAGCGTCCTTGACAAGAATTTATTATTACTATTACTGTTGTTGTTGTTGTTGTTGTACCTTCGCCACTGTCAAACTGGTTTGGTCAGAAGAGACGACGACGTCGTCGACGAAAAGGGAGGAGGAAAACAACAAGAGTAAAAATAATACTGTGTTCGTTGAAAATGTTTACCGTTAGAGAGGGCTTACATGCTAAAACTCGTGAAAATTAATCTTTTTAAAACCTGGTTCTTGAACCATTTAACAATAATAAAGAAAGCCTCTTTCATTGGACAACGAATTTACCCAGGTAGCCTCACAAATAAAAAATATTTTATGCAAGTATTTTTTTAATATAATCTCCTTCCTTACCAATGCATTTTAAACGGTTTTTAATTCAATAGGAAAATCAGGCTTACGGCCATATCACGTTGAAACATTGGTTCCCATACGATCACCTAAGTTAAGTAATGTCTGGTCAGTACCTAGATGGGTGACCGTCTGAGAATGCCAGCTGCAGATGGTACAGTAAAAATGGCTTGGAATTGTTAAATAGGAAAGCTAAATTCCAATTCCAGTTGAGTTCCTTATATTCACTTCTGCTGAAATAACCTTGGGAAAGGTATGAATTTACATCTTTTACCCCCAGCTATATGTTAACTAGTAAGACTTGTATCACTAAATCATTATTCTCTCCAAAAAAAATTCTTATGATCTAAAAATATATTCTGGCTTTAAATAACCTGCAAAAGTGTTGATAAGATGTAAAAAACGAATCAGTCAATCAATAGGAAATTCCATTGAATGGATGTTACAAAGAAAATTTCAGACTAAAATTCAGTTGTGTCACTGTACGGACTTGATTCACCCTTAGGGAAAAATGATTAGTTTTCAACTGCTTTCTTTATGCACCACATCCCTTTAAGACATGAACATCCATAACTTTATAACTTTTTTTTGTTTTTGTTGCTCTAAGTAACTTTTTAACTCTTCATCATCCCTTTTTGTCAGCGAATGGATGGCAAAATAATATTTTGCCATCCATTCGCTGGCTTCTTTTGTCTTCAGCATGTCCTTTGGGTGTTTGATTCTCCAGGCCTTCTTTCCTTATTATGTGTCTCTTCCTGATTGTAAGATTGTGTTAAGTTTCTGTTTTCCTTAAAACTTCCTCATTGCTCACATCTTTTGTCCATAGTATTTTCAATGTTCATCGATAGAACTCTATTTTTGTTGTTTTCAGTATAGTGACAAAAAGAATTCATTTTTATTGTTGCAATGTTAATGCTTTTTTTCTGTAGAATTCATTCAGTGAAGAATAAATTTTGAAGTTATTTTTCAGTTGAGCATTTTTCTTATACAAGAATGTTTGATTTGAATTTGTAGGAGAACCCAGCAGAATGGTAAATACAGTGTAACCCGAATATAAGAGAGTTGTCGGGACCGGAGAAGAAGTCTCTTATATCCGGGTTTCTCTATTTTGTTTACATTAACACAGGCTCTAATTTGGGACCAGAGAAAATCTCTCTTATATCCGGGTTACACTGTATAAGACAAATTGGAAGACTCTTCTTATTTTAACATATTTTGCTGTTCAGTGTCATCAGAAAAATAGGTGTTTATTTCTACCAAACTTTACAGAAAAAGAAAAACATTAACAGTGTCTATTTCAACTCTATACTTCTAACATCTGTCTAAAATTCTGAACTTTTATTTACGATAAAAATTTACTTTTATTTAATATAATAAATCTGAATGTCATTGTGTCACACTTTTTCAACTTAAAGGGACACAACTCTTTAACTTTCAAATGAAAACATTATTGTTCTTAAATTACACTGTTTCAAAATAAAATTGTCTATCTTTTCAACTTTACTCCTAGAGGCTGTAGCCCAACATATCATAACATTTTGGTTACAGGTTGACTCTGTGAGAAAATTAGAAATATTCAGGGCAGGATCTGGACCTGCAATTCTGAAAGTTTGGATTCCCAAGTTTTCATTATTGCACTTGTTTTTGGTAATATTTTTTGTGATTTTTTTTGCAACAAATTTTTTTTGTACAATAACAATTTTTAGAATTAATTTGGGAATCATCAAAATTAATTGTGAAATCCTGCGAAAGTCACCCATGAAATAAAAATAATTGTTTTTACAGAAAGTAACAACCTATGAACATAAAATTGTCTTTAAATTAAGTGGTAGCAGAAGATTTATCATTAAACCTTTTAAAAGGTAAGCTTAAATATTAATGCAATATTTAAATGCAGTGATCAACTTTTAGTTCTTCTGTAGTTTATTGTTGTCTATCTCATCTACTCCTCCTTACCTATTGTGATGAAGGTCCAATCAAGAACATTCCATAGGAGCTAGCTTAAATGCTGCTTGATAGGGTGGTTTTTAAGCTAGTTTCTCTATATTTCTGAGATGGGGTAATATAACTATTTACATCATTCAGACTGTTATCTTCATCTTTATAAATAAATAAAAGGTTTGGTTTGAAATTCTAATGTATCTCACCTGAATTAGGTTGGAGCATACAACAGCCAAAACATCATAAATATGGCAATAAAGATGAGGATAACAGTCCGATGATGTAAATAGTTTTATTTACCTTTTCTATTCTCAATAGGAGCAGGTAGGTTTGCCTATTGTCTGGTTCACTATCTTTACTGGTCTTTTAAACAGGAGTAGAGATTTATCCCTTGTTTCCTGTTTAGGATTGAGTTTCCAGTTCCTTCTAAAGTCTTTCCTTCACTTTCACTTGCTTGGGGTGGAGCTTCTTACTCTGTAACTCTTTACCTCAAGTGGCTCTTGGGCCTTGTACAGGGCGAACATCATTGTAAAAGGAAAAAGAAAAACTACATTGGTGAGGCAGAATGTGATTCATTTTTCTGATGACATTGTTTGATTAGTGAAACATGTTGAAATATGAGTTTCCTAAATTGTCTTATATATTTATCATAAGAATGTTTGCCTGTTATCTTTCATTTTGGTAAGGAGAGATACAATTGATGCTGGATTAGCTAAGCTTTGACACCAGACTGAATTATGAAGAATTAATTCACATAATCTTCTTCTTTGCCAATGCATTGTTAATGGTTTTTAATTCAAAAGAAAATTCACGCGTATGGCCATATCATGTTGAAATACTGGTTCCTGTATGATCACCAAAGTCAAGCAACATCTTGTCAGTGCCTAGATGAGGGATTGCTTGGGAATACCAGGTGCTGTAAGCTTGGATGTGCAGGTGGTGTAATGGATAATGACTCAGAATTGTTAATTGGGGAGATGAGTTCTAGTTCCAGTTGGGTTTGTTATATTTACTTCCATGCAAATACCCTTAGGGAAGATATGAATCCACCTCTTCTCCCCCCAGCTATGGGTTAATTAATAATTCACTAGCAACAGCTTGAGAGAAGATCAATATGAAAAACCTATCAGAAGTAAAGGCTTAAATACCAAAGTTCAAAGCAAATGACACATTGCTACCTCCCACAAACTTAAGTCAAAATTAGTATAAAAAAAAAAAGATCAGTTCTTTTGTTGTCTCTCTTAGATGTGCTTTTCACAGCTTTAATATTATTCTTGATAGCATAAAACATTGATGAATGCATCCATAGTGCTATAAAGAGGGCTATAGGTAGGGTTTCAATCCATTCACTTTTTGCTAAAACTGAAAACTAAATAAAAGACTAAATTTGTCTTCTTGGACTCGGTCTATGACAATAATTTTGAGATGTGGCCATGTCATTTGTTAAAAATCATTACTACCATTAATTTTCAAAAGAAAACAGAAAACTTCATTTTTTGCTTTGCTTCTAAAACTCCTATATAATTTTTGTAAGTAGAAAAAGTCTATCAGTCACATTGCAAAAATCAGTACAAATGAAGAGCAAAAAAATGTGCATTTAACGTTTAGTACTCTGCATTATTAATATTACTTGCTTTTCTATGGCATTCCTTTTCAAGGCCTCTCAATTACAGTATCCTTATTGTTGATTTCAATCAAAGTTGTTTTCTGTTGCCATAGCAGGATATGACACCACAACTATGAAATTCAAACAAATTCAAAGTTACCTTCAGCGGCAGGATAAACTTTTTGCAAAGCAAATGAAGTCACGTACATTGTGATAAAGGTTAAAATTTTAAAAAAACAAGACAAAAATAGGAAAATACTCTAAAAATATTAATTTCATGAGAGAATCAGATAAAAAGAATAAACTATAAAATCAAGAGTCTGAAACTTAACATCTAACTCAGCCCACCCACCATTTTTGATGGCTATGTTAGCCCTCACCTCAAACTTTTTATTTTAGGTACCATACCTCCTGGAATGGTATTAATCTACCAAATCAGCAAAATTTCACAAATGATATCTTAACTGGAACACAGACGAATTTTCACAAACAATGTTGGTTGTCTCTTCGTTTCAGCCAGTTTGTAATCATAATTTTGACTGGTGATTTAATTTAAAAAAAACAAAAATTTGGTAATGGTAGCTCTTGCTTGACATTACGGAATACTCTGAAACCTCCTATCCCCAGTAGAGCAGTACATTCTTGGGGACAGATTAGGCAAACCATTTCTTAGCTCTCATTATAAAAAAAAAAAAGAATGGTTCAGTAATTCTAATTCATTTCTGACATCATTAAGACAGTTTTTATAATGGTGCTCAGCTGAGAGAGAAGAAAAGATGTTTTTATTCACCCTTGCCAGAATCACATGATCTAGCCTGCTCATCATTTAAAAATGATAAGTTATGAATGCTTCCCTTTTGATAGAATCCAAGAGTGGTTTTGCTTTAATTTTAGTTGTTATGAAGATTTATGGTTAATAAAAACGTTACTTTGAATGTTGAAAAACAAAAACAAAAAAAAATTTAATGTTGTCATTTAAAAAAAAGAAGATATTTCAAGGAACTGATGGATTCCAATAGTAGATTTGGATTGAGGGATTATTTTAAAGATTTGGTCAAAAAGCGGATATAGGAATTCAATTAGCTTTCAGAAAGGATTTGTTAGAATTACCTTTTAATCTTTCCTTTTCTTGATCTTCAGATCTTGTAAGTGAAGATGAATTTTAAAAATAACTCAGGCATTTATTTGCAGATTTCACTTAACAATAAAATTATTTCAATTTTTTTCGTCAATTTTTTTAAACAAGCAAATTTAAAGGTGAGTATTTTGAAACATTTTCTATAAATTTTTATTTTGTTTTCGTTTTTTATCTTGTGGTTTGACAAAAGAGCAATATTATGTTAGTGACATCAAAATCAACTTTTGCTAAGTCTTATTGCTATTAACTAAGCTTATCTTAGTTTGGTACAAAAGCTACAAATTTAGGAAGCAGTGAGTTTGATACTTACTGGGTGCCCTAAATTTACCATTTGTCCACTGTTACCATATCTAGTCTGGTGCTCCTACTGTACATCTTGAGATTCTTGAACAAATCCAAAGAAAGATCTGCAATGTGATTGATCCTGGCTAGGCATCTTGACTTCAATCACTTTCTTACCAAT